GCCTCGTGTTGCGACCAATTCGAGTTGCAACCAGAGTCATGGATTGGATTAAATTCGTAACTCGAGGTTCCACTGTATATTGTACAGCATTTTCACCTACAGCAAAGGATGTCTATGTAGGGTGCATGAGAAGAAATATACTATACTACTTCTCTGATAATAGATCTAAAAAGTACAGAACCAGCTTCTACAACCTTCCTCAGTTCATGCATGATGACTTGAATGTAGAAAGTAATGAAATCCAAATTTCATGCAATTTTAAATTACTACAAAAAGGTTTTAATTTTGGAAGCAATCAAGATGGAACTTATGCAATCTTTGCTATTTGCATTCCTTCTTGCCTAGAGCATCTGATCCATTCCTTAATGTTCATCCGGTATTAAAACCATCAGCCTCTCATCTAGTCTGAACATTTTATGTGATATTTCTTGGACTACATACACAGGTATGCATTTCAGTTTCTCAAAGGGGAATCAGACTGTATGTAAAATATGCTCCGATGATGAACTGTACCAGAAGATCTCTTTTTGTATTAGGAGTGAGGTTGCAAAAACATACAATCAAACAGAAAATACACAAGACTCCAGAAAATAGGTTTTCATATGATTATCTGAACATTATATTAGAGGTATGTGGATTGCAGGTAATCTACCATAAAAAATCATAGAATATATGTCTTGGGAAGGATTTTACAGATTATCTAGTCCTGCTCATTAAAAAATCCACTAAGTACAGGTAATTCTCGGTTACTGATGGTAATTGGGATCAGAATTTCCATCACTGATGTGGTTGTAAAGTGTGACTCATATAACCACATCACTTAGCGACAGCAATCCCGGCAGTCCCAGTTGCCATCGTTAACTGAATCCTCCAGGTAGTTAGGCAAGGACCCACTCCAGTCCAAGACATTCCCAGCCACGAGCCTCAGTAAGGTAAAGGACTGCTTTCTCTGGAACTCCCACCACTATCTTCCCCACATCTCTGCCCTTTGCCCACCAGCCTGTGTGCTGCTGCCAGCGGCCCCCACTGCCCAGCCTTGCCTGCTACCTCACCCGCTACACTGCATCCCACTACTGTTCCAGCCAGGGCCTTCCTTCATGCCTGTGCAGCCGAGGCTTCTCTCGCGCTCCACCCAGGACCTCCATTCACATGACAGCCAGGGCCGTTTGCGCACCAGCCAGGGTCTTCTTTCACAAAAGAGCCTGGCATGTGAAAGGCGGCCCTGGCTGCACTGGTGCAAAAAACAGCCCTGGGCGGGGCACAGAGAACCTGGCTGGTGCATGAATGGAGGCCCTGGGCAGGGCATGAGAGAAGCTCCAGCTGCACTGGCATGAAAGGTGGTGGTGTAAACAGTGGTGCAGTGGGAGTGGCGGTGGCAGAAAGGACTGGGTGGTGGGGGCAGCTGGCAGCAGTGGGTAGATGGGCTAAAAGGTGATCGTAAATGCAGCTGGGCCCAAGTGAGCCTGAATTTTATTCATGTGACCGCACGGGTGCTGCAATGGCCAAAACTTTGAGGATGGTCGTAAGTACCTTCATTCTGTGCTGTCATAACTTCAGATGGTCACTAAATGAATGGACATTAAGCAAGGACTACCTGTATCCCCAACGGATGCCTTATCCAGCCCTCATATGGAAACCTCCAGCACTGGGGAATCCAGTAGTATTCAAGGCGGACTGTTCCTCTGCTTAACAGCTCTTACCGTGAAGAAGCATCTAATATTCAGCTCGAATCTCCTTCCTTTTAATTTCAGTATGTTGATTTCAATGGAGAACAAGTTGCATGTGAGAGCCACTTAAATATTTGCTATGGTATGGACCTTTAGTCTTCTCTACTGCAGCCATCTCCTTTTACCAATCCTCTGAGGTCTTTGCTTTCAGACCCCGTCTCACACTGCTAGCTCCAGCTTCTCCATTTCTTTTGAGGGACAGAGTCATAATGAGTGTGCTAATGATGTGAAGTGGTGGGCTGTGTAAACACAGACGTGTGAGATGTTCAGTATTATTCCAAGATTAGAAATAAATATTAGCACTGAGCAACTTATTCTTCTGCTTCATAAGGCAAAATGCATTTTAAAATGAGACAGGTGGGTAAACAAACTTCACTCACAATCAGCTTTGTATCTTTCCTTTATTGGTAACATTCTGTAAGTAAATATGTCACCATTAAGTACTCCCTAACACTTCTGTTGTAATAAAATATGCCAACATTACTAAATTTATTGTGAATGCACTTTTCCAGAATTTACTGTAGCTTAATATTTTATACTAACTTGTTCTATTTCCCTGATTAGATTTTATTAAATATTTATTGAGCTACTCTTATGTTAAACATTATTTTCCCTTCTTCTTGCTTGTTTATTATTCCAGAAGTTGTCTATCACTTTTCCAAAGCTATCAACACAGTCGATAATTTAGTCTTGTCAGCCAAGGTCAGCCAAAACAGTGTGAAGCCCAATTATATAATCATTTCAACTCCTGAGCAGCAGTAGGAATATGCAGCATACAGACCAACATTATAGATAACCTGGTCTCAAAACAAAACAAAACAAAACAAACAAACCCAAGTATGACTGTTGCAATTTTAATATTTCCCTGAGTTACAAAGTTTTGGAAAACAGGTTGGTATAAACGATCTTTTTATAAATGGCGCAGGGTTTATTTTTAAGACTTACTTTAAAAAACCCTGAATTTTCTAGCTTAATAGATACAATCCTCATAGGAAAAATATCCTAACTTTTGAGGGATCTTCATAGAATGGATAAATGAATACGATGGATAGATCTATTTTAAAAAAGAAAATTAATTCTGAAGATACTTTAGTGCCTCTAAGAGGTTACAAAATCCTTACTTTAAGCAATTGCCTTAAGTTAGCTACCATCTGTCACCATACCATGCAAGATTTTTTTCTCCAGCAGCCCTAAAGGAGTTCCAATAGAGGAGAAGGAGTTGCAATTAGTCCCCAGTAGACTATTTTGTTGTTAATGAGTTAAAATTAGATGGAGCTATATTTCAGCAACACTGCCTTTTAATACAGGAAACTAGAATATTATTGGTGCAAAAGCTTTTGAAATAAGATGGGGGGAGGGGAACCTACACTCTTTATTCTGAATAGTAAAACAATATTGAAATGTGTTCAGAGTTAAGCAGTTTTCAAGCTATGGCCCACTATCACGACAGTCTTAGATCAATTATGTTTCGAATCTTGGTGTTTATAAAAGTCCTTTATTCTCTTCTTTCTCCAAACACTGCTTCGGTCTGTTCTATTGCAATGATATATAATTTGAATACATGCAGCCCTAGAATAAAGCAGCAGAAGCTGGCTGAGATACTAAGTTACTAAGATTTGAGTTTTTAAATTCCTTTCCATGTGGTTCTAGAAAGTCAGCCCTCTCCTGCAGAAACTGATCTTATTGCCTCTGGACAGGTACAGTTATGTAGAATGGGGGTAAATAAGGGGTGAATCGAATCTCTGGTTTGTTGACGGGATTAAGGCAAAATAATATATTTTATAATTGACCTTTGCAGGCAAACCTCTTCTTTTACATTTCCACTCAGTGTGGTACAAGTGGGGAATCTGTGGTTTTCCAAAAGTTTGGTGTTAACACCAGAACTTAAATATAGTGCATAAGAATAAGTGAGACTAAGATGGTATTTGAGTGTTGCTCAGTGTTAACTCTGTGCTATTTTTTTTACAAGCCTTTATCACCTGAAGTTTTATAACTACATAATTTACCTGCTAATAAACATCAATGGGACTTAAAAATTCATTAAGGCATGAATGAAGAATGTTTTCTTTGACCATCTCAAGACAAATTATACTGGCATATGATTTGTAAGACTAGTTTTTAAAACGTAAAATCATTTACAGGTCTGAGAATGATTTTTAAATGGTATTTCAGTATCTATGCTGGCAGTATCCAAATGTCTGTTCTCACTGAAGGAAGAGTTTGCCTATAAAATCTTTCCTTCTGTCTGGTATGTCATATATAATATCATCTAAGTAATTTTGGGTGACATGTAAATATGAAAATATTCTTTAAAAACCAGAAAACAGTAATAATAACAACAACAAAACACAATATATATTACTATATCAGGGAGGGAAACACTAAGAACCAATGAATAATGTTCCAATTATCAGTGTAGGGTCACAAATCATCATGACCCGGGGTCTGCTGAAAAAGCCACATTTTAAGGGCTTTCCTATGCCACAAGATAATGGTTGTGCAGACTTTGGGAGGATGGGATACTATCCTACAGGGCAGGCATGGCCACAGAAAATGTACATCTCCAAGGTCACACAAGATGACAGAATTTTAAGAATGGGACCTGGAACATGCCTGCACTGCTAGAACTAATGGGATGGAAAATATAATCAAAGCGATACATTCCCATAGTTATTAAACTAGGATCAAAGAAGCATGACTCTGAATATCAACTGTTTGGGAGCCAGTGTGATTCATTGGCTAAAGTAATTATTTAGGACCTGTACCAATTCTACATGCAGCCATTGAGACTAATTGATTGATTTTAGATTGGTCACTGTCTTTCACTTACTGTATCTCCTAGGGTTATTATCATCAGATAAAACTAAAGGATGATGTGCCACCAAGTTGTTTTTGACTCCTAGTGACTACATAGATTTTCTCCATGATGAACTATCCCTAACCTGGTCTTCCAGGTCTTCCAATGGTGCACTCATTGCCATTGTAACTGAGTCCATCCATCTTACTGTTGGTCATCCTCTTCTTTTATTTTCTTCTACTTTTCCCAGCATTAGAGACTTTTCCAGAGAGCTAGCTAGACATAATGTGTCTAAAGTAGGATAATTTGAGCTTGGTCATTTGTGCATTGAGCGAGAACTCTGGGTTGATTTGTTTGACGATCCATTGGTTGTTTTCTTGCCCGTCCACAGTTTTCTCAGGAGTCTTCTCCAGCACCAAAGTTCAAAAGTGTCAATATTCTTCCTATCCTGCTGCTTTAAAGTCCAATCTTCACTTCCATAGAATATCACAGTGAATACCATGGCTTGCATGAGTCTGGTCTTTCTAGGTAGAGACATGACAACATTTGAATATTTTTTCCAAGACCTTCATGGCTGCTCTACCAAATGTTACTTTGCAGCCTATTTCTTAACTGCTTGTTCCTTTACTGTTGATGGTTGATCCCAAAAGGCAGAAACTATCCACCACTTCTATATCTTCACTGCCAGTTCTAAGATTGTTCTATATGTTGTCATTAGTTTGGTCTTCTTTATAGTTAATTTTAGACTCATTTTTTTTCACTTTGCTCTTTAATTTTTATTACTAGAGCTTGCAGGTCCTTTGCATTTTTGGCTATCAAGGTAGTATCATCAGCATAGCATAGGCAATTGATGTTTCTTTCTCCAGTTTTAAAACCACACTCATCTTCTTCCAATACAGCTTCTCTTAATATATATTTAGC